TAATTCATTAATACTAACCACAACCCAGTTGCCAAAAATCCAATCTTTAGTGTACCCATTTGCAACATCATCCATAAGAAACCAAATCAAGCTCTATTAGGTAACACCCAATTAAACAAGAGTTGATAATTCAATGATATTAACCACAACCCATTTGCCAAAAATCAAATCTTTAGATTGCCCATTTGCAAAATCATCAATAAGAAACCAAACCAAATCAAGCTCTATTAACAAGATTTGATATTTCAATGATATTAACCACAACCCATTTGCTAAAAATCCAATCTTTAGAGTACCCATTGGCAAAATCATCAATTAGAAACCAAATCAAGCTCTATTAAGTAACACCCAATTAAAAATTTCACTTTTAAATTTATTTACTCCAATAAACATATACGAAATGCAAAACATACTTAATCACTAAGATCTAACTGATTAAAGTTCAAAAGACACAAAATTTATTGAAATGAGCAAAAACACTAACCTCCAATTGATGAAAATAATCATAAATATCAGAAGCATAAGCACCACACATCTGAGGATCATCATCCAAATTAACATCAACATCAAATTCCTTATCTTTCTCAGTAACAGATCTTTTCACCTTCCTCTTAATAGTCTTCCTAGATTTGATAATACCCTCATTAGACAAATCTTGAATCTCACCCAACACAACTCTCTTCTTGTTGGGTTGTTGCAAATGCTGAACCATTGCTTCTGCTGCTCTTTTCTTGGCTAATCTTGTAACTCTAACAAAATTTTCTTGATCTGCCATTTCTTGCAACTCCCTTTTCCTCTCTCTGTGTTTGGGGGTGGGGGTGGGTAGGGTAAGAGAGGAAGAGTAGGCTGAGGAAGGGAAAGAGAGATGAGTGTATGTATATATATGGCGCCATATATTCAGCAGAGTGAGTGTTTTTGAGGGAAATTTTCAGATGGATTTGAGTTTTTGGGAATTTTTGGTTTTAAGGGGTTGTCTTGTTGCGGCAAATTTTTGGTTACTTTTTTTTTTTCAGATCGAAATTTTAAAAAGTGAGTTTTGGGTTCCCTCCATATATACCCGCTTCTTTAATTATATATTTCGTCATCCACTAACTTAAAAGGTAATTTTCTTACACCATTCGTGCAGAGTCAAACTATGCCACGTAACTTTAAAATGTAGATACTAGTAATACAGGGAGTAGTTATGAGAGAATCTATGAATTTTTATGCATGTATTAGTTATGTAGGATTTAGTTATGCAGGTATTAGTTATGCAGGATTTAGTTATGCATGTATTAGTTATGTAGGTATTAATTATACAAATATTAGTTTCGTAGATATTATTTATGTAGGATTTAGTTATGTAGAAATTATATTACATAAATTATAACTTATTGATTATTTAATTTATTGTAAATTAATATACTTTTTTTAAAAAGTCGGAAATTAGAAAATCCATGCTTATAAACAAGCAGTATCCAAAATAAATAAAATGCAACAGTCCCTCGGGGGTGGGGTGG